GGATCTGGATAGACATTTCTCTAAAGAAGATATACAAATGACCAATAAGGACATGAAAAGATGCTCAACATGGTCATTAGATAGACAGATAGATGCCCTCAAGTCGACTCCGACTTACGACATTATGTATGACAAAACAAAATGTTGCCCAGTCCTATGCCATTCTCCCAATGTTCAAGTCCATTGTTGCAGCTATTGTGTCTATCTATCTCCCAAAGGATTTCCCTCGCCTTTGCTGGCCCTCTACTTCACTAAACATGATGTCCTCCTCCAGCAAATGAATGATCCCTCCTGATGTGTCCAAAGCAAACAAGTCAGACAATGCTCTGTTGTGATTCATAAGGTTTTCATTGGCTAATTTTCAGAAGCAGATCACCAGGGCTTTCTTCCTAGTCTGTCTTAGTCTGGAAGCTCTGCTGAAACCTGTCCACTGCGTGTGACCCCCACTGGTATTTGAAATACCAGTGGCCTAGCTTCCTCAACTCTCAAGCCACCACAGTATAACAAACCGACAGATAGGTGGTGACATTAGTTATCAGGAAAATACAATTCAAAACCACTATGAAATACCACTTTAAACTCATTAGGATGGCTGTAATTTAAAAAAAAAAAAAAAAGGACACTAACAAGTGTTGAATAGGATGTGAAGAAATTGGAACCCTTATACATTGCTGATGGGAATTCAAAATGGGGCAATCAGTCTTAGAAAGCAGTCTTGCAGTTCCTGAAAATATTAAACACAGAGTTATCATATGACCCAGCAATTCCACTCTAGGTACATATCTAAGAGAAAGGAAAACATGTCTATACAAAAACTTGTACGAAGACATTCATAGCAGCAGTATTCATAATAGCCAAAAAGGTGGAAACTACCTGAACAGCCATCAATATGCTTATCCAGAGTACCTGGATAAACCAAATGTGGTATGTCCATATGATAAAATATTATTCAACAACAAAAAGCAATGAAATACTGATTCATGCCACATGCAGAACCTTGAAAATACTATGCTAAGTTAAAGAAGCCAGTCACAAAAGCTACCTATATGCAAATCTCTATAGTCAAATCTGTAGAAGCAGAAAGGAAGATAGTAGTTGCCTAATGCTGAGGGGAGGAGAGAGAATGAAGTGACTGCTACAGGGGACGGTTTCTTGTAGGGTGATAAAAATGTTTTCATCTTAGGTTGTGGCGATAGTTGAACACCTCTGTGGCTATATTTAAAAAAAAAATTGAATCGTACACATTAAATGGGAGGATACTATGGTATGTGAACTATATATGGTATGTGAACTATATCTCAATAGAGAGTCTTCAAAAAAAACAATGTAAGGTACCAGGCCACTGCAACTTGTGGAATTTGGACTCCAGCCTCCAAGAGAAGAATCGGCTAATTCGGGCTTCCAGGGACACTATTTTTGAAACTAAGCTGCCAGTTAGAATTGAACAGGGCTGTCACCACTAGCAAGAATTCTAGGTACAGATTTTCTTTTATCCAGTAAGGGCAAAATTGTAAGCAGTTAATTAACTTTTAGTACCTGTGGCTGGCCAGATGTGGTTAATCTACTTCTTGGACTGGCCATGGGAACGGTTTGAGTCTCAGGTCAGCCGGTTGCCCTCTGCTCTGGAATCTATTTCCCGGTCACTGCTCTCATCGTCAATTAGTGAGCATGCTCAAAGGAATGCAAACTGATTTTAGCATTATCTTAACCAAAACATGATTAGGAAGGTGAGTATCCTGCCAAAAAATTACATAACGCATTCCACAGCCAACTAAAAACGAATTTTGCACCATTCTTGCTGAGTCCACTCCTCATTTAGCATAGGATTAAATGGCTAATAGTTATGCATACTTATGCAGAGTAAACTTTTTTCCTTTTAACCTAAATCTTTCTTGTGGGATTCAGATATTCTGCTACCTCAAACTTCATGGGAAAGAATGAACAAGCTGAAGTCTCAAACATTTGCCTCACTATAACATGTCTATCCGCTATATCCAAAGTATTCTAACAGAATGTTCTAGCACCTTGCTATTCAAGGTAGGTCCACAGACCAGCAGCCTCAGCAGCACCCGGAAGATCCACCCCAAACTACTGGGGCAGAATCTGCATTTTAGCAAGATCCCTATGCAATTCATGCACAATCAAGTTTGAGAAGCCCTGGTCTCACACACAACTGAAGGAAGCTCAATACAGAGCAGTTGAGAACTGGGCAGTCAGTAATTACTAGTAATCTCGGTTAAAACAACATGCAAGAGTAGACTCTAGCAACCTCAAAATCTCCTATTCAATTCAAGGTGGTAAATTTTCAGTTTATGTAAATACACGAAGCACAAGAAAAGAAGGCTGTGGTGACCTCTTTTATTTAAGCACTCTGGAAAGTGGAACAGAGAGGAGCATGTCCCTAACAGAAGATCTCTGATGGTTTCAGTTGTCCCCAGCTCTTCTTCTTGGCTTTGTCCTTGCAGCCCCAGCACCACAGCCCTGGGGAAGCCCAGCCTAGACACTTAGGCTTCCAGCAGCAGGTGGTTAAGGGGCACTGACAGCAGGGGGATTCCTAGGTGAAAGATGGAAATCTCACTCTTCCATACCAATCAGTATGGAAAGGAGCAAATCAGAACTGGAAGCACCTCTCCCTGCTTACCCCCTCCTGCACTTAGGAACCAATAAAACGCTACAGACTTTCTGTTCCTTACAGAGCTCCAATTCTTCCAAGACTATAAGGTTTGAATAAGTGGAAACTCATCCACTGAACCTTCACCCTCATACATCTGCTTCCTGTAGAGGAAGTTAACAGTGCCAAGTAACCAGGGAGGTCCTCCATGTTAATCAGTCGTCCCCAAGGCATTGAAAGCAGGGTGGGAGGAAGGCGGGACTTAAGAAAGACTTCTAGAGGCTACTATTTAAAATGCTGATTCTCAGGTTCTGATTCAGTAGGTCTGGGCTCAGACCCAGAAATCTGCATTTTAACAAGTGTCCTGAGTGATTCTGATGCAGGAGGTCCAGACCCACGCTTGAGGAAACACTAAAATAATTGGCTTGAGGAGAATGGTATCATCTTCGCAAATAAATCACTTATTCTTAAGCATCTTCTTCCCTTTTTTGAACTGATGTCAACTTCCTGATTAACTTCCAACAAGCTCTGCAGTATTCACCCAACATTAGAAAAAAACCAAACCTGTTGTCGAGATGACTGTGACTCCTAGGGCCCCACAGAACAGAGCAGAACTGCCCCATAGGGTTTCCAAGGCTGCAATCTTTACAGCAGTCCTGAGGAGCAACTGGTGGGTTGGTGAGTTCCAACTGTTGACCTTTCAGTTAGCAGCTGAGCACTTAACCACTGTGCCACCAGGGCTCCTTATTCAGCATTTACTGGGCAACTATTGTTTGCAGGGAGTCCCTGGTGGTGCAAACGATCCTTGGCTACTGACTGAAAGGTCAGCAGTTCGAGTACACCCTGATGTGCCTCAGAAGAAAGGCCTGGAGATCTATGTCCAAAAATTCAGCCATTGAAAACCCTACGGAGCACAGTTCTACTCTGACACACACGGGGTCATCATAAGTTGGAATCAACTTCACGGCAAAAGGTTTATTGTTTGCAGAGACCTGTACAACCTGTTGCTTTCCTGCTGTGTGCAGGCTGGGTGGAAGGAATGGGAAGCGGTAAGGTATATGATCACATTAGACAGCTATTTCTCAACATCCTAGAAAAATGACAAACTGACCTATTTGAGATTTGTGAGAGAGATTAACCTAGACAATTCTACTACCTAACCACCCAAACCAAACCCATTGGCCTTGAGTCAATTCCAACTCATAGCAGACTCACAGGATAAGCAGAACTGCCCCATAGAGTTTCCAAGGCTGTCATCTTTTCAGAAACAGACTACCACATCTTACCTAACCACAGTTACCATAATTTACCAACCTTTGTAGCACACCTATGCTCGGAGCCCTGGTGGCATAGTGGTTAAGAGCTCAGGTGCTAACTAAAAGGTCGGCAGTTTGAATCCACCAACCGCTCCTTGGAAACCCTATGGGGCAGTTGTACTCTGTCCTACAGGGTCGCTATGATTCAGAATCCACTTGACGGCAATCGGTTTGGTTTGGTATGCTCCAAAAATGTCATGGCATTGCAGGTGGGAGAGTCGGTTGCGTAGCCAAATGGCCAAGGACCAAATTTTACCTTCTCCACTTACATTACGTGGCCACAGGCAAGTAATTTAACGTCTGTCCACCTCAGTTTCCTCATCTGTAAAATGAGACATTACCTCATCGAGTTGGTGTGAGGAGTAAATGAAGCGCTTAAACATCTAATTGACACAGATGACTCCAAGAATAGAAATAATACTGACGATTCGTTCTATTTTTAGGTCAAGGCCATAACGCTATTGTGAGCACAAGAAAGGGTCTTTCCACAGACTGATTTGGAATTGTGGGTGAGAAAAGTGGAATTAAACTCCCATGTCGCATTAATCTAGCAGCTCAGACTCTTTCTCTACATAATCATAACTAGAAAAAACCCGTTGCCGTCGAGTTGATTGCAACTTATAGCAACCCTACAGGACAGAGTAGAACTGCCCTATAGGATTTCCAAGGAGCGCCTGGTGGGTTCGAACTGCTCTTTGGTTAGCGGCCATAGCACTTAACCACTACGCCACCAGGGTTTCCATCATAACTAGAGTACCCTGTTTTTAAGGGCCCCTACCTTTGTCTTGTTTGGGAGGTGGTCTTGCTGATGCCACACTCTGCCCCAAAGTCCCTCTCCAGCTCCCGGCTAGTGGGGAAGGTGATTTGGCGAGGCGCGTGCGCGGTCTTGGGCAGGTGTCCTTGTCCTGACTCCGGGCCAAAAGCCACCCAGGGGGTGCAAGCCCCTCCAGGGACACCGTGGAGGAGGAGGGCCGCAGGGCCCGAGGCCGCAGCCCCCGGCCGGCGGCGCAGTGGGGAGGATACCGGCGATCGCGGGAGCGTGCGCGGCCACGTGACAGCCGCTATAAGAGCGCCGGCGGCTGACGCTGAGCTCCCGCCACGCCTCCTCGCTGGCCGCCCTGCCTCTCTCCCGGTGCTCCGCTGCTCAGAGTCGCCAACCTGCAGCTGCCCGACAGCGACATGACAGGTACGCCGCGCCGCCCCCGGAGCCTCGGGCTGCTGCCCGCGCGGCCCTCGCAGTCCTGCCGCCCGGGAACCCCGGCCCGGCGAGGACGCCGCGGAGTTGTAGGCTGGCCGCCCCGAGCGCGCTGCTTCCTGCGTCAGCGGCTGCCCGGCTCC